CTCTGCTTAGGCTGCGGCTCACGCATCCCAACTCCGAATAAGCAGACACTAATAGATGGATGGATGCTTTAGGTTTAAAGTTTTGTTTCTGAACTAAAATACTCGAATTGAGGTCAAGTAACTGTGTCATGAACTTCACATTAATGCTTGAGTTTCAGTGTAATTTCGAAAACAGAACGATCTGCTACAACACCTATGAAGGGGCCTAAAGAAACGATGTGTGCACTGGCTTTCCTGACAGAAAGAGGCTAAGGTTCAGCCATGCAAACTTAACCTCTGCAGTTTGTTCTTCTGGGCTCTCTCTTTTCTTTTCACTTTTCTCTATTAGATACCCACCCACCCACCCACCCACACACACACACACACACACACACACACACACACACACACACACAGAAACACGTCGACTCCCCAGCCACCCTGCGGCCTGTTTGTCTGCCAAATGAGTCCTGACTGCACGTTTACACCCGAGACCGCACAACAGTCTGGCTCAGACACACACACACACACACACCTACAGGATAGCCCTCTCTCATGCTCCAGTTGCTTCACAGATGCACACAAACGCACATATCTAGGAGCCCTATATTTGTTTTGTGTGGTTACAGGGCAAATGGGAACCAGTGAGAAGCGATTGATGCTTATGAGGGTGTGTGTGTGTGTGTCTTTTCTTGTACATTTATACAGAAATGTGTACAGGTATGTGATTCCAAGAATCCAAGAAGGTACACCATGTTTCTGCATGTGTGTAGCTAGAAGGCGTGAAAACTGGTGACAGTTAGAAACACACGACCAGTCTCCACATTCAGGAATCCAGCTGGTGAATTTTTGGGCTTTTTTTTTTCTTATTAGGACAAATCAAATATAAATAGGTAACTGTACCCATTCAGATTTAATCCAAGTACATATTATAAATGAAGTATTACATTTTTTAATTCTTTAAAATGTTTTGTGTCAACATGTTTACCCCTTGTACAGGAAGTTATGGGTTTTACTAAAACGTGTGCACGTCATCAGTGAACTGCCAGCACAGAAGCAGGTCAAACCAGTGCCACTGGGCTCCATCTGATGCGAATGCGCCAATGACTGACTTAATCCCAGTGTGAGATTGCAGTTTAGATTAAATAGAGGTGTATGTGTATTATGAACCTTGAAAAGGATTATTTTTTTTATTAGAAGAGTGAAAAAGGTTTTAGCAGCTAGCCTTTGTAATTGAATAACATAAAGGTAAATGCTGACTAGATTCCTTTCAACTGAGTTGTATAACCACGACAACGCAGCCACTAGCAGCAGGATCACAACACACTTGAGGATGCATTAAGGTACAAAATTAGTCGCAGCCTTCCCCCAACAGACTTGTAACAGCTGAGCATCTCTTTTGGAAGTCCCGCTCTCTGCTTTACTTGACCACAGCCATGGGACATATTTAACAAAAAACTTTTCAGACTGTCTGAGCAATGAGACAGCAGTGATTCACACTTCTATCAAAGCCTGTCTGCTTTAAAGTTTGAGGCAGCTTTAAAGCCTGTAGCTGGAATGGTACACAACAGTAAAACTCCTGATGCACTGAGAAGATCCAGGGAGTTACTTAATAAAACGTGGTGTGATAGTGCATCGTGGCCTAAAGCTCATACACAAG